CTGAAATTATCAGCCAGGAAATCAAAAGACTAATTGCATTAGGAAACCCTGCTGTCAGAGACCTCTCCAGAGTGCTGAAGAACAATTATTTCAGTCAAAAGACAAAGGCATGTCTGATCCAGGCCATGGACTTTTCAATTGCTTGTTACATATCAGAGAGCTGGACAATGCTATGGATGATAGAGAAAAAACCAATGCCTTTAAGTTGTGATGCTGGAAAAGAATATTGAATGTATCATCAACTGCCAAGAAAACAAACAGGCCTGTCCTGGAGTGAATGAAACAAAGTTGCTCTTTGGGAACAATGATTTTGAAGCTCTGTCTTTGGGCATGTTGCCAGGAGGGACCAGTCCTTGAAGAAGGACATCGTGCTTGGACGGGTAGAAGGACAGAGCAAGAGAAGAAGACCATGGATGAGATGGATTGACATAGTAATGGGGATAGGTGTGTCAGAGACAGTGAAATTTGGTCGGGATAGGAGAGGATTCAGAGCTATTTTACATAGGGTTGTTATGAGTGGCAAATGACTTCATGGCATTCAACAACAAGGATGGTGCACTAAATATTGCCAAGATTTACACATCCTGATACCCTTTATGGAGGACTCATCACTTATGCTTATCTTGGTAACTGTCTTTCCACAAAAACATGGCCTAGTTTTCTATGGAACTAACACACTTCAGAAAAACATACTCATGTTGTTGTTGTTAAGTGCCGTTGAGTCGCAGGCGACTCATAGCGACCCTATGAAGGAGAGGCCTTGACGCTTGAGTGCCTTTCATCCTCTCTCCAGGTTCATAGGGTTTCTGGAGGCAAGCTATTATGAAAGTGGATGCCACTCCTCCTTCCACGCTTGTTTAATTGGGGAGCTCCATCCCACTCTCAGTCCGCATTGGGTAGCCAACCATTAACGCATTTGACACATCCGTGTCACAGTGTTCAGCCTCACAGCAACCACAAGTGACCACGGGATGGCAACTTGTACACCAGGGCTATACGACCTAGAGGAATGTCTGAACAAAAACAATGAAAGACTGGCCAGAGGGCCACAAACTAAAAGTCACCCACCTTGGTCTTGGTCACATCGTTTTCTCTTCACTAGGCCAGCTGATCTCTCTCTTTCTCTCTCTCTTTCTCTCTCTGTTGATGTTATTGTTAAGTGCCGTCGAGTCGCAGGTGACTCATAGCGACCCTATGAAGGAGAGGCCTCGATGCTTGGGTGCCTTTCATCCTCTCTTACTCATGCACACAGTATTTATCTTATATAGCCTCATCACTCATGCAATTTATTCCACCATATCTTAAGCATTCTTCAGTTCCTGAACAAGTGATCTTAAAAACCTAATCCCAGAAAATCATCTTTTCTCATTGTTTAAGACCCTATAAAATACAGAGACACTTTGGAGAATTACCTGTGTAGTGCTGTGATTCCCCCTTCTCTCCCTACCATTCATTTCAAAACTTGATTTCTATAGACCTTTTCAAATGTTCTACTGTTGAACATACCATATCTGAAAGGATATTTATGACAGGAAACCTTGAATCTGAACTAGAATCTATCAGCAACTTCATGTATGGGAGAAAGATGGACAATCCCGTCCCATAAAAATTTACAGCCTTGCAAACATGATGGAAGGTTGTCATGAGAGTAAACTGACTTGACAATATGGAGTATTGCTTTGTTATATTGATTTTATTATGTCGTTGTGTTGATTTTATTTCCTGAGAGACTTCTTTTTTTTATACTTTTTTTTTTTTTTAAATATGTGTACCGTCAAATCATATCTGACTGGTACAGGAGGAGATTGTCCCTCCTTCTTCAGCAGAGCATCTGGTGGATTTGAACCCAGTACCTCTGGGATTGCAGTGCACCTTCTTGCCACTAGGCCACCAGAGCTCGCCCCTGAGAGACTTCTTAAGCTAAGCTACTTGTCTCAAACTTTAGAAAGCTTCAAAACTAGTTGTGTTGTTAAGAGTCTTTGACTGGTCCAACTAAGCAGCAATAAGTTGTACAATGGAAGGAAGCATTGTCTAATCTTGAGCCATCTTCTGCTAGCTCTGATGGCCTAGTGGTAAGAGTCTGTGCTGCAATCCCGAAGGCACATGGTTCAAATTCGCCAGTTGCTCCATGAAAGAAATATGGGCAATCTCCTCCTGTGCAATTACAGGCTCTGAAAACCTGCTGGAGGGTCAGATATGGGTTGATTCTGACTTAATGGTACACACAGCACAGCACTTCCCCATAAGGTTCTCAAGGGTGTGCAATCTTCACAGAAGTGAACCTTGGTGACATAATGTGTAATGAATACATTAAGCTGCTAACCAAAAGATCAGTAGTTTGAATTTATCATTTGCTTAGTGGGAGAATACCGGCAGCCTTCTTCCAGAAAGATTTACAGCCTCAGAAGGCACCATGATAATTGCTTAGACTTGAAATCTACTTGAAACAATGAGTTGTTTGGTTTCCCCCCACTAGTCTTTATAGAAGCAAATTATCCCATCTTTCTCCTGTGGAGAAAACTTGGAATGGTCAAAACTGTCCCTTTCCTTTTGAGAATAATTTTTCAGATCATATTGCTCCTCTCTAAATAAAAGCCCCAAGGGTTATACTCTAAGCCCTAATGAACTACTCCTTTCAGCTTTCTGACATCCTAGGCCTCTGGAGACTCATGATTGTGTCCAGAGTTCAAAATTTTCTTTATATAGTCTTGGTACTTCTTTTTCCCTGAACAGAGGTTTTATGTTGTGTCTCTAGGAAGGAGTAAAGGAGGAGAACCAGAATGAAAAGAAAGAACCTTGTAGGAAGCTACGTCCAGCAGCAGTGAACCATGACGCATATGATAGACAAATTCAAGTTGTGACTTGCAAATGACAATAAAGAAAAGAACCTGTTAGAAATGATATAAAGGGACATTTTCAGGTAAGTTCCATAAGCATTTGAAACAAGTACCTAAGTCTCCCCTTTCTAAAGAAGACTGTTTTTTCTATGATCCTTCTATATTTAGCCCCACTATTTCTATTTTCTAGTGACCATCAGAGCCTCTGCCCCAGGCACCTGAAAGTATACCTCATTTGTGACAATCGAGTTGACAGAAGATTGGTAAAGTAAAATAAATAAGCAAGAGTCTGGGAGTTTTTTAGTAGTTGAAAAATCCTGTCAAAGATTATAGTGTGGAGTGGATTTGCAGATTTTGACTTCTAGAAGAAATTTAATAGATGTAAGTTAAATGGTAAGACTTATTTTAGAAGGGAGCCCGGTGGCCTAGTGGTAAGGAGCTGCCCTGCGATCTAAAAGGCATATAGTTCAAATCCACCAGCTGTAAGAATTATTTCAGAAACAAAATGCATAGCTATGTAGACAGGAGTAGAGGTACAATATAAACAAGGATGGGAAAGTGAGCATGTAATTGAACTGAACACAAGTTTATTTTGGTAAACATAATCTAGATGTGCTATGAGTGGAAACTAAGTTTTAAGAATGTGAAAAATCTCACAGAGTTAAATTTTACGTAACCTCTTGTGGGAACTACAACAGTTTTATGAGTATCATGTTTATTGATACATATGTGACTGAGAATAATTGGTAAAAAAAATGCTACTTTACAGCTTTTAGTCTTTGAGCACAGAGATTTCAGCTGTAGTAATCAGGGTAAAGTATCTAGAAATGAAGAAGGTCTTTTATTAAGGTCTATATAAAAACAACGAGAGTAATAGTAATGAACAAACTCAGATTCTAGGATGATAAATGGAACATAAGTATTTTATAAAGATATTACATACTCTAAGTGGATTTAACATAAACGTTTTTATTATATGCAAGTGACTCCTAAGGATTCTAGGAGATTCTGGAACTGAGTTTACTTATGTGTCTGTAAAAGTGAAGAATTTGTCTTCAAATAGGAGATATCATAAAGGAAACATTAGTGGAAAATCGTATTGATTAACAAATTCTTAAAGTCTCCATAGATACCACCACAGAGAGGAAGAAAAGAAAAATTTTTCTTAATTCATTGTAGAAACAGAGGTATACACGTATGCTGTTAGGTATCCCAGTGGACTGATTTAAAGTAAACATCTTATAATTAAAGTTAATGCATTTCACACATAAGGGTCTGTTTACACAAGAAGAGAAATGCATGAACCTAGAAACTTTGAGAGGTTGACTAGCAAATAAATAATTTTGTAGATGTGAGAAACCTGAAAGTATCTTAATCTATTTATTACTGGCATATATTTCACATTTTTTTTCTAAAAAATATAGTGTTCTATGGAGAGATAAATGAAGTCCTGGTGTGCAATGACTAAGAGCTCATCTGCTAATCCATTGGTCCTCCCTTGGGATAAAGATTCAGCAACCTGCTTGCACAAAGATTTGCATCCTTGGAAACCCAGTGGAACAGTTCTGTACTGTCTTGCAAGGACAATCTGAGTCAGAATCTAATTGAGGTCCATGGGTGTGGGTAGGGAAAGAAATAGCACCATAATCAAACAGAAGGCCACTGAAAGAGGCAGCATATGAAGTCAACTAAACTCAAATATTCCACCCCAACATCTCAGCACTCTCAGACCAACAGGGGAGAAGTGTATTTTGCCATTGTATAGGAAGCTTTGCAGTAAGAAGATCATGGTTCTTCTAATCAATATTGCTATTTCTTCACTAAGGACAAAAATATTTCCTCCTCTTATTCAAGACTCCAGAAATAGTCTTTGAAATGTAGAATATTTGTACTGGGAGAGGGAAGAGTAAACATCTTTTAATAAAGAGAATAACAAAACTCATTTTGGGGGGAAAAAATCATAACTGATTTGAGGGCAATATAACTGGTTGGTATAGAGCTAAATCCAGACTGCAGATTCTTTGACCTCAAAGATTTTTTCAATCTTCTTTTCTGGCTTCTATCTTAGCAAGTCTTTAGAAACTAAGCTGATAGAAAACAATCTCATTGGCATGTGTTTAACTGTTCTTTAAGAAGGATTAGCCACTTCTACTGTCTTCAACCATGCTAATCTTCAACCATTCCAACTCCGTGACCTTTGCTCTGTTGGGCATACCTGGCTTAGAGTCACAACACTTGTGGCTGTCTCTTCCTTTATCTTCCATGTTTTTGGTTATCCTCATTGGCAATGGTGCTATCCTCTTTCTGGTGGCCACAGAATCCACACTCCATACACCAATGTATCTGCTCCTGGCCCTGCTGATGATGGCTGACCTCATATCTACTCTAGCTCTTGTACCCAAGATTCTCTGCCTCTTCTGGTTCAATGATAAGGACATTGCTGCTAATGGATGTTTTACTCAGATGTTTTTCATCCATGGTGCATCCGTAGTGAGATCAGCCCTACTCGTGGCAATGGCTTTTGACCGATATGTGGCTGTGTGTGAGCCCTTACGCTATAACACAATTCTGAGCCCTTCCCTTGTTGGACGCCTTGCACTGGCTGCTCTAGCCAAGGGTGTGATTCTTATCTTGCCCATGCCTCTTCTGCTTCAGAGGCTGACTTTCTGCCACATGGTCATTCCCCACACTTACTGTGATCATATGGCTGTGGTTAAAATTGCCTGTGATCACACCAGGCCTAATCGAGTCTATGGGCTCTTCGTAATCCTTCTTGTTGTAGGCCTTGACCTCCTGCTCATTGGCATCTCTTATGCCCTTATCCTGCAAGCAGTGGTGCACCTTAAATCCCGAGATGCTGTCTACAAAGCCCTCAACACCTGCTCAGCTCACCTCTTCGTTATCCTTGTTACCTATGTGCCTGCACTCTTTTCCTCTCTCACCCACCGAATTGGTCGCAATATCCCACCACATGTCCACATCCTCCTGGCTAATCTCTACCTTCTTTTACCCTCAATGCTGAACCCCATCATCTATGGTATAAAGATGAAGGAAATAAGGGATAAGGTGGCCAAATGCCTATGCAGAGAAACAGCATAGGCTGTGGGTCTGGACAGTAAACCTACAAATGAATGAATGAACAAAGAGAACAACATACTGCTACTATTCAGCCACCCAAGAACCCAGCCAAGTATTCTCATAAGCTATAAGAAAAATATACTATTATGAGAAGAAAAAAATGGAATAGCACTCAAGAAATCAGTTAGATGCCTCTTTACAAAGTTTGGAAGAGAAATATCATTGTATCCAGCAACCCCACTATTAGCTCTAAATCCCAAAGAAATAATAGTGACACAAACTAGTATACACTTTCCCATGTTTATTCCAGCATTATTTGTGGAAGCAAACAGAAACAACTCGTGTCCATTAACAGACAAATGACAAAAAATTGGATACATTCATACATGGAGTATTATGTATCACTAAGAAACAATTACAAATCATTAAATACAATCTGCATGATCTAGAACAATTTATGCTGTATGACATAGTCACAAAAAGGACAATTATCCTACAAGACCATTATTAGAAAAAGTTTAGGGATGGTTTACAAGCAGATAGAACGAATATTGGAGGGGTAACATGAAAACTGAATCAGAGAGTGGTAATATTAAATGGATAAGATAGGAGAAAGGGGGAAACCATAATTACAATTACAACGTAATTAATCAATTACAGTTCTCAATGGAAAGTAATGTTATAAAATGTCTTTGATCATATGAAAAACCAATATGATTTTCAAACAAATACAAATATATGAATACATTAAAAAATATTATGAGACAATGATGTCTGTTCTTGGGTTTACTTGAAAGACCAGTCTTTGTTCTTTATTTGGCTTCAAGAGGAGAAGATCTCAAGACATCTCTCAGGGGGAAAAGCACACTAATGGCATGACTCTCAAAGCTGTGTTTATACCCACCATTTTTTATGCAAAATTGTTCTGAAAATAATGCAAGATCATTTCTCCTTGTCTTGAAGATTATACTTCTGTTGCCATTTTCTGTGAAGTTTCATATCTCCAATTTTCTGCGTCCATCCTAACAAGTATCTACTTGCTAAAAGAGAATTAGGATAATTGTTATTTTGAATATCACCTTAATATAATTAAATCTTTAGACAATTAGTCTTTTCATTAATATTCATAATGCAATGGTAATGTAGTGTATTTACCATAACAGGACAATTATAACAATGTGCATGCCTATAACAAAAAAGAAATTTAGTCAGGGACTGTTATAATACATATTTCAAATTATTTTATTATCGAGTGAAATGTGTTTATTGATGTTTAATATGAATGGCTTCTGTGACTAGGAACTCTTTTTTGAAAAAAGGATATGTGAGCAGGAATATCCTGCTCCTGAAGTGACATTCCAGGAATACTATTTACAGACTAGCTGATAGTGCTGTCAAGAAACAATGCTCTATTGAACTGTGTTAAAACATTAGTCCATGACATTTCTATAGCAGTGGTTTGGTGTAAACATCTATTTCTAATAAAAGTAAAACAAACTAAGTCTACAAAGTAAACGAACTAGAAAGAAATAGAATTATTACAGATTTAGCGTAATTTTAAAATATGCATGTTGTCTTTGAATTGGTAGAAAGTATTCTAAATTTCTAATTTTCTCTCAACTTTCAAATCTTTTCTTGACACTGTTGAGAGATTAATGACGCTGACAATAGTGAGGGAATAAATTCAAGTTGTAATAAAGACACTGACAAAAAATAAGGTCCCAGGAATTTATGGAATGCCTATTAAGGTGTTTCTAGAAGCAGATGCAACACTGATGGGCCCACTAGCCTATGCCAAAATATTTGCGTGACAGCTACCTGGTAAACTAACTTGAAGAGATCCATTATTTGTTTTCATTCTAGATAAAGATAATCCAGAGTCTAGAAACCATCAAATATTGTGATTAATATCATAATCAAGTAAGTTCTTGCCGAAGATTATTTAAAAATGCCTGAAATAGTATATTGACAGGTAATTTCCAGAAATTCAAGCTGGATTCAGAAGAGTCTGTGAAAGAAGGAATATCAATGCTGACGCCAGATGAGTCATGACTGAAATCGTAGAGTACCAGAAAGGTGTTCCTTGTGTTTTATTGATGGTGCAAAGGCATTTGACTGTGTCGTTGTTAGTTACTTTCAAGTCAGGTATGACTCACTGCAACCCTGTGAGCAGCAGATCTGCACCTTGCCTCATCCTGTACCATGCTCACAATCCCATGCATTGGCCCATTGTTTCACTCACCATGTCAATCCATCTTGCTGAGCATCTCCCTCTCTTTTGCTGACTATTCACCTTGCCCTGTATGACGTCTATCTCCACAGTCTGGGCCTTCCTGGTACCTGCTAAAAATATGTGAAACGAAGTGTCAGCACTCTTGCCTCTAAGGAGCACCCTGGTTGCACTTCCTCCAAGATGGACTTTTTGTTCTTTTGTTGGTCCATAGGATATTCAGTATTCCCCATGAGCACCACAATTTAAACATATTGATTCTTATTCAGTCTTCCTTATTTGGTGTCCAACTTTCAGATACGTAGGATATAATTGAAAATATGATGGTTTGGATCAGGCTTCCCTCAGTTTTTAAACTGACATCACTGCTCTTTAGAAAATTGACAGGTCCTTAACAGCAAATTGTCCCAAGACAACATGTCTTTTGAAAACTTGGCTACTGTTACTATGAATGTTTCTTGTGGATCCACGTTAAAAAAATAATAATAATATTGATAACTTCAATCTTTTCTCCATCTATAAAGACTGACTATTGCTCAAGTGGTGAAAATACTAATTTTCTTAATAGTGAGATATAATCCATATCTAAGAGTATAGTCATTGATCTTTATCTTAAGCAAATACTTTAAATGTTTCTTTATTTTATGCTAAGTTGGGTCATCTGCCAAATATAGGGTGTTGATTCTTCCTCAAATACTGATGCCACATTCTTCTTCATATAGTTAACTTCTCTGATTATTTACTGGCTATACAGATTGAGTAAGTGTAGAGAAAATGTATAACCTGATACATACTTTTCCTTATTTCAAACCATACAATATCCCCTTGTTTCATTCCAAAAACTGATTCTTGCTATATATAGAGAGATTTTACATGAGCAAAATTAAGTATTCTGGAATTATATTCTTTTCAGTGTTGTCCATAATTTGTATGATCCACCCAGGTACTCTTTGAGAAAAACATAAACAATCTTTTTCAAGCTACCACATGATTTATGGTCTCCAAAATCACTAGAGGATCAGCTGAGTAAGCTCAGACTTAACAGTAATTACAGAGAGACATTCTAGAGCAAGTTTCAGAGTCTCTTCTGACATCAATTTTGGTCTTTGCTTTCTTTTCCTACCATTTCAGTAAAAACAATATGATAAAAATCGATAATACTAAAGGAAGAAGTCTAGGCTAAACTCAAGGCAATGGAAAAAATAAGGGTACAGAAGTTGACAGAATACCAATTGAGATGTTTCACAAAGGCTGTATTTGTAGTCTCGGACATGCTGTCTTCCCTATGCCAAGAATTTCAAAACAGCTACCTGGTCAATTGATGAAAAGAGATCCTGTTCCAAAAGAGTGATCCAACAGACTACATAGATCATCAAACAATAGCATTAATATCACATGCAATTCCTCCAATCTTGATGTCATGCTCCTCCTCAAAAAGTCCAGCTTCCCGAATGCTCTGTTCCACATATAGATTGAAAAGATATGGAGAGAGGATGCATCTCTGATACGCTCCTTTACTGATTTTGAACAATGCATTGTTTTTCTTGCTCTGTTCTGACAACTGCCTCCTGGCCCAAGTGTAGATTTCTCATGAGCACAATCAGATATTCTAGGATTCCCATTCTTCTCAAAGTTAGCCACAATTTGTTGAGTGATACACACTCAAATGCTTTTGCATAGTCAAAGGAACGTCAATGATAGATATTCCTCCAGTACTCTCTGTTTCCTGCCAAGATCCATGTAACACTGAAGATGATACCCGTCATGCCACAGTCTCTTCTAAACCCCAGCCTGTATTTCTGGTAGTTCTCAGTCAATGTACTGTTCCAGTCATTTTAAAATGATGTTCAGCAAGGTTTTGCTTTTGTGTGGTATTAGTGATATCATTGAATAATTTCTACATTCTATTGGATCACCACTTTTTGAAATGAGAATAAATATGGATTTTTTCAGTCAGTTGGCCAGGTGACTGTCCTCCAGATTTTTTAGCACAGCCTGGTGAATATATTGAGGGCAGAGTCTTTTTGCTGAAATATGTATTCCATCAATTCCTGGGGCCTTGTTTTCTGCCAATTCCTTCAGAGCAGTTTAAACTTCCTCCTGCATCACCATTACATCTTTCCTATTGCTACTTCCTCTCTCCAGAACACTCTCCCATTTCTTCTTCATTTGACTTAGCTCCCATTATTGTCAGGCTATTGTAAATTTTACTTCTCAAAAATCTTCCTCATTCTCTGTTTAATTTTTATATACTTCAATTGTAGCATTTACTTCACTATTTACTTTCCCCCTCATTTCATGATTATTTCCCTATTAGACAGAACTAACAGAGTGGAATTAGAAGGAAAGTAACAAAAAGAAGTCAGAGGGGCAAAAAACCTGAAGATAACGTAGGCTTGAGCATTTTTGTTGTTGTGTACCATAGAGTCAGGATTGACCTACAGCCGACCCTCCGGTGGGTTTTCAGAGGCAGTTAATTGCATGGGAGGAGACTGACAATCCTTCTCCCACATCTTTACGCCCAGTTTTGCTAATTCAGTTCTTGTCCATGAAATCACCTCAAACTTTCTGCAGAAGCTTTGAAAAATAGAAGATCTCCAGTGCCAACTTGATGACTTTTTATTCAGTTGATGACCCTGGTTATTAATTTTTCAAAAATGTCTCAGGTGTTTCTAATATGGAAACTTAATTGTCAGCCACTTTTTTTGTTGTCATTGCAGCCTCTCGACTCACAAAGTATAAAGGCTTTGCTTAAATAGGTGTGTCGTTTTGTGTAACTCAAATAGGAGCA